GAAGGATAGGACGTTTTGATGTTGACCAATTCCGTTTTTGGGGTGGGCCCTGCATTCGACTTTCGCTCATGATCTTAGTGATGTTTTGAGTGGTGTGTGGCCTATGCAATGACATGCGGTGACCAGCCGATGTGCAAGTGTTATCCTCCCAGGCGAGTCTGGTACCAATTAACCGACCCCGGCGGAATAGAAGGCTTAGTTGGCCTATGCGAACATCGATCCAGTATTCGAACCCGCGACAATGCTTGTGAGATAGTGCGCCACTTGCCACTACACCATACTTGCCCTCTCAATGAATCGAGTATTTCGAAAATCTGTATTAGAGAAACAGCTACTTCATCGTTCATCTCTTGTCAATAATCAAAAACTAACGGTGGNTGCAAACTACCCCCTCGTCCGTCTTTCTCTCTACTTCTATAATACTTTCTTGGGTCGACGTATTTCTCGACGGCCCTTGTGCTTCTTTCGTAGTGGTTGGAGATCATTTCGTAGCAGAGAAGTGCCTCCCATTCATTTTTTTCCTCTGAAGACTAAACAATGGAGTTGTCCCAACAGGGAGCCACGAGCTCGCGCCACTGTTTTTTCTTTGCATCATGCGTTTCGGTTTCCATAATTTTGCCTCACCCTGTAAACCAGAATAAGCCATAGCGTCGAGGGTCCCCTAACTAGCACAAGGCACCCCTCTTCTTCTTCTCCATCGCCACCACAGCTTTTGACTCAAACTACAACCCTTACTATAACTCCGCTACCACGGATTCTATAGCCCGGACAGCCTGAAACGTCTACTTTATTCGCCTTCGTGGGAATCGGAAAACGAGTAGGTGCAGAAGAAACTGATCCAAAAGAACTGAAGAAGAAAACATCGTGGGTGCAATAAAAACTTTTTTGAGGAGATTCCGGAAACATCAAACAACAGTCAAAACCAAACATCAACATCTTCGGAAATCGGAGCACAAATCGAATCCACGTCCTACGAAATCTGTCGTCGACGAGGAGCCAAGTAAGCATTTGAACAATGTGGGGTCCGCTGTGAGCCGTCGCGGAAGCCCACAAAGCACTACCCAGTCAGAGTAAACAAACTAAATAAATAAACACACTAGGTTGCAAGTAGCCTGGCTCTGACGCCAAAGCATCAAACAGCAACATGGTGGTAAACCCTATCCATACCGGACAGACCTATAAGGCGTATATAATATCGAAATGAGAATCCGCAAGCGGTACCATGGAGACAAAGGAAAAACGTACCCAGCTTCCGGTTTCTAGGAAACAAATAGTTTCTTCTCGTTCTGTGCTGGCTGTGCAGCTGGCACATGACGGAAAGGAGACCCCATTATTCGTCAAATGCTGCATTTCTTGCCATGATCAATAATCGATCGAATCAAAAGGATGAAGGATGGGACGTTTTGATGTTGACCAATTCCGCTTTTGAGGTGGGCCCTGCATTCGACTTCCACTCATGATCTTAGTGCCGTTTTGAGTGGTGTGTGGCCTGTGTTGGTACCAATTAACCGATTAACCGACCCTAGCGGAATAGAAGCTTAGTTGGCCTATGCGAATTTCGATCCAGTATTCGAACCCGCGACAATGCTTGTGAGATAATGCGCCACTTGCCACTACACCATACTTGCCCTCTCAATGAATCGAGTATTTCGAAAATCTGTATTAGAGAAACAGCTACTTGATCGTTCATCTCTTGTAATAATCAAAAACTAACGGTGGCCATTACAAGCAGTCTTTCAGGACGTTCTAAAATTGGAATTTAGCATGTGTTAAGGGTTTTTGATCTAAAATATGCAAACTTCTCGAAGTTTCTCAAAGTAGGAGTTGCCAGTAAAAATGGTGGGTACCTCGAGAAATGAGCGTTAGCAANATAGTTGAAGCCAGGCGCATTCAGTTCCCCTTCGGCCTGGACATTGTGTTCAGTTGTTTCCGCTTCCTTAATTGTCCACGGCTAAAAGCAATTATGTAAATTGTTGCAGTAGGAATCAAAGTTGACTGCTGCGTCACTTGCTTCCAGCTGCCTGATTTTTTTTAGTCCACAAAGTCACCTGGAAATGCTTCCGTAACTAGAAGCTAATTTTTACGAAAAACCACCTGTAATCACAAATAGTCACGAAAATTGTCAACAAAAGTTCAGACCAAACGAGAATCAAATCAGATAGTCACGCTGAACGAGCTGTATGGGACTTCCTTTCAAATTTTCATTTGGGAAAACAATTAAAATACTAGATAACCCAGCAAAGCTGCAATTTTTTAAAAAATTATCTGCGTCAAGAGGAGAAACGGGGTTCATTGAAGTTTTGAGACCGTCAGTCAATAGGGAACGGGTTCGAAGGGGCTGGAGAGGGAAGACACTGCTCTGATTGGTTACCCAACTGGTACTGCCACTGGCATACTGTTGTAATGAATTCGAAAAGTAAGGCGACTTTTTAGTTCATACTTTAGCGAAACCTCAAGAACTACCGGAACCTAACAATTTTTTTTCTATTGGACTGGCAATAGCCAGTTGTAGCACAATAACATGCATAGTCTGGGCGAAGATCGAATCCCACATCGATACACACCCAGGCTAGCTAAGCTTTCCATCCCTCCGGAGTTCTTTAAGAGGTACCCAACTCGTCTGGGAAGACAAAAGCACTGACTTGTACATTGGTTGCCCATAGCGAGTCATTGTATAGGCCACACGCATTCGTAGCCTCACTACGATTCTTAATGGATGTCGAGTGTGTGGCGCATACTACAGAATGAATTGGGACTGTGCTGAAAGTCCTGGGCCTTCATTTCTGAATTATTAACTAAAGGGCGGAGGCACTCTTTTGAACACATTGTTTTGAACGGGTTAAATGTGAATCAGTGATGTATGAAGGTTAAACCACACAATTTTTTGGCATACATTGAGGTATGGAAGAAATTTTGGAGTACGTCCCTATTGAGTGGGACCCTATTGTACCAAGAGGACTATTCTTGAGGTGGTGACATTGATTTATTTAGATGACTAAACGAAAAACTCTAATTTTGCAATAAAATCCCTTTTACTTAACCAACCCAGCCAGACAAAGGGTACGCCACAGCCGCGAAGTTGCCGTTTGAGGTCTCCTGCTACATCGCGTGCAAGGGAAAAGTTCAAAATAAACTTACGTATTTGACCGGTATAAGTAGGAAAACACTTGTGAGACTGGCAGTAATGGAATGACGGATCCGTATCGATCTTGCCATTAGTCATTGCTATGTAATGTTTAGGAAAGAATACAAACACTCCGGCAATTAGTCATACAGCATTGATGAGTAATGTCTACAACATTTCACCAACACCATTATTCACCATCGTTTGAAATTGCCATGGTGAAGAATTCAGTGGACGCAAAAATGCTCCTTAACTACCCGAGCAGCATTTACTAGCAAGATCTGCGGGAACATACCGAACATTATATACCATAAAACAATTTATAACCAAACTATAGAATATTATAAAAGTAACAAGGAAGTGTTAAAATTATCATTTGTACAAGTAACGATATATCTTCAAAACAGATATGAGCAAAACTGTCATCAATTAACTTATGGCAAAAGTTAACACGAAATGTAGAAACCAACAAACTGCTATCACTGCAGAGTATTTACAAAATAGGTTATAGATAAGTTATGAAACAAACATCATTTGCACACTTAGGGAAAGAGCACCGTGCTACACGACTGAAATCAAAAGTGGTCAGATCACATTATTTCAGTATCGGATTTAACAAGTATACTGTAGATCCTTGAGTGGCAATTGGTATACGGTTACTGTAGTGATAATGTATGAGTGCAGATACCGTAGGAAACACGTTATTGACCGTTCGAACCTGAAATGCTCTGTGCACTAAACGGCTGCTTTCATGGTTTATGGCGTAACAAGTATATTCTGCGTTTTGCGATTACCCGACCTGACGCCGCCGCGACGCATGAAGAGGGATGCGTGCGGTGATCGATACCGATATGTCTCTGAGTCATGCTATGACTGAATTCGCATGAGCGCCTCTCTGTTCAGCTCGTATTTAGCTACCATCGTTATTACAATGACTGGGTTTAAAGGCACACGCCACGATAAAAATGGTTACTGAGTTCTGCCTTTAGGAATACTCAGTGGCTTCCAAGGGTAATGGGAAGGATCCCCTCGTGCTCACAAAAAAAAAGCTCGACGATTTGGGCATAGTGGAAGCCCTGTTCCCGGCCCACGCGGCCTTCCCGCCCCTTAATCGATGTCACCTCAGACGAGTGTCAAAGCGATACAGATTGAACTATCCATTCTAGGACCCACCCACAATCAGCTGATCGCCGAGTGATGAGGTGATGTTGTTCTCCCATTCTTTTTTTCTCTGTTATTGTCTTTGCTGCTGCGATACCCTATTTAATTTTCTACCCCAAGACGCTGAAAAAGGTGGGCTATTTTCGCTGTTACTAGGGTTTTTGTTAACTTATGCTGAGGAGTGTATAACGTTTTGCTTACCGTAGTCAGTTAATCGCACCAGGACCCACACGTACGCAGTGAGCCACATTGTATAGCTCGTCCAAACGCCCCACTCTTCATTTTCCTGGCCTCATTCTCGTCCAGCCCACTTTTTAACGATTTTTTGAAGCCCTTTTCCACTTTAGAAACACCGATCCACGCGGTTCCTTCGCCTTCGTCGCACTACTTTATATCTTATCTTCAATTTTTCGTCATTATCTGGATGACCCAAAAATATCGTGAACTGTGACTTTAAAATGACGTACGATGACGATTACTGGCTCAATTGCAAGGCCTGCTTCTATGGTTAGGTAATTGACACGACAATCAATTGATAAATGCAGAAGCGAAAGTTGAAGGAACGAGCACTTGAGCATGTTCAGTTGAGAGTTACGCAGCACATTCACAGTACCGATCACCGCACGCAACGCTCGTCTTTCGACGCGGCAACGGCGACTACTTTCAGAAAAAAAAGCATAAAACACCCCGCGATATATTCCAAGAAATTAATTTTTCAGCAATGACGTAGTCCACTATGCAGTCGGCAGGGCGATCTGCTTGAAAAAAGAGCAGAACATGAATCAAAACGTACCACTCCATCATTTATGAGAAGAATATGGCGATGCCTTCCTTGTTCAATGCCATCCAAAATGAACTGTCCTGGTGAATTTGCACTTGTTCTATAACGAAAAGATAGGTAAAGGAATTAGGTTATGAAAACCGTCATAGAGCTTTGGTGATATTTTAAGCAACTGCACTGGTGCAAGGTGACTCATGAAGCTAGAGGTTGTCGCTAAGGCCTTATCACCCCATGAAAGAAGAATTACTATTAGCAATGGATGGGCGACCTCTCTCAGAGCAGACCAGACCAGTTCACAATAAGGACCATGCCGAGAAAATTCGAAAGATCAGATACCTTACCTGACTAGAAAATCGCCATCTTTCTGCAACAGATATTCAGCGCCAGCACGATTAAGTTCACCGTGAAACCATGGCTTGTCACCCAAATCCAATCCAAGAAGTCCATTTGGATCGTCTCTTAAACCAGAGCCTAAAAACTGATCATTTACCTGATGTGTTCACCTATACCTACGGAACGAAAAATCTTCAACATACCACCAGGCTCTGGGGAAGGCCGATCAGGGATTTGATTTCGGTTCGCTAGTCGAGGTGACGGCGCTAGAGGTTGCCGCTTGGGTTCTTGGGCAAATGCTGGGTCAATCTGAACAACACAAATAAATACGTGCAGCCATCTAAAGCTATTTTTCAAACAATATCACCTACATTGACTATACCAGAAGTAGGTTGAATGGGTGGAGACATAGGAGGTGACATGTCAAGAGTAGCCAATCGGATAGCATCATCAATTATATGCATTACTCTTGGGACCTAAACTAAACAGAAGTGGAACTCATAACAATCTTTCGAGATTCGGCTTGCAAACTATTTTCAAACCCCAGTGGCTGCGCCACAACCTCGCGTGTAATTTTCAGTTAAAACGAATAGTCCATTGGAGAGTAACAGAATATCTAATTCAAAAAATTAGCTGACATGAGCCATAGAAGGCAACTCTAGTGATCGCTCTACAAGCACTACGGTACCCTCAAAAGAGATCACAGAAATCACGGAAAACTAACGTCATTGAACTGGAATACATGACAACGCCTATCAGTTTCGTTGCGAAGTTTTGCTATATACCCGAACATATCGGCAGTGTTCGTAGCCTGAAACGCTTGCAATCTTTATTAAAGAAAAGGATACAGCAGCTGTACAACAGCAAACAAGTTTAGAGAGGCAAAAATAGAACAAGTAGGAAAATAAGCTCACCTCTGACCCTTGTGCTGCAAACGAAACAAGCTCAATACTGTGTCGAGCGATCAAGCGATTTACCCTTTCTGGTTCTCTCATGTCAGAATGGATGATGGTCAAAGATTTGGTGGAAATGTTCAGCTCGATTTGAAGATTTGTCACCTTCGGTTCTCCAAGGAACTGAAAGATTACGGTTTCAGAACGAATAAAATCACCAATTCGTAGAACTGCACACTTGAAATCCAAGGCACTTTTGGAAGACAGCAATGCGAAAATCTTACAAGTGAACCTCAAGAAGGGAACAACTTGGTATTCCGGTACGGTGCGAATAAAACACATCGAGATAGGGAATTCGCAGAACCTCCGAACCCATAGTTTTGCAATTATCCCAACCAATACCCACTTTCAATTCGCTACTGCGCAAACTATAAACACTGCTACAGAACCTACACCACTATCTCAGAAAAACAAATACAAGTATATATTAGTGGAGTGGGTTACTCCTTCCAAAAACAAAAGACCTTACCGGTTTCATAATTGCATTTGGCTTGGGCGGGGGAATTAGACCGATCTCTGCAGCGATCATATTGATACACTCCCTGAAAGACCAGATTCGTACACTTAGTTGTAGACTATAAACGGAGTTGACTTTCCGAAAAAGTAAACAACAAGATTTGGAAAAAAAAANNNAAAAAAAAACTAAAGAAAAACCCACTTACTTGACGACGAGTGGCCGCATGTCGGCCGTCATCTCATGTAGTGCTGCAGTCACTGGTACACTACCGAGGTACTGAAATTTTCAGGCTAAAAACTGGACAGAAAAAATTGCTAGAATGGTCAGTCCTATCCAGACTACGCCATGAACTCGACATCCATCCATTCCATCTGGTCATTCAAATACATACACTCAATACATTCATTGACTGGGCTCAATCTTCCTGACCTTTCTTACCCCATGTTCATAACTGATCTTTAATTAATAAGGCCATGATGGAATGCTAGATTCTGATGTTAATAGATTATTTGGCGCATTAATGAACCCCACAGGATGCTGTATCCAAACGTTCTAAACAGGACCCCAATCCTGTGGGTCTTGATTGTAACTCCTGGATACAGCACCCTGTGGGGTTCACTGTAATTTTTTATGCGTCCAATATGAGCTGGATTTTCCGCTCATTTGATGTTTCCGTTCCACTTTCACTTGTTCTGTCATTACTGAACCCCACAAACTCTGATAAATCTGTCTCCTGTTTAAACTGGACGTCATATCCGGTTGACCGATTCTTCAGAAAGTAAGGGGAAGATTTTCAGCGGCGTTGATTGAACCTGTTTTCACGCCGTTTAGGGTGAGCTTTTTGAACTTTGATATCTTGAAAACGCGATGCAACTCAAATGACGTTTCAGAATTCCATTTAGAGACGAAAGCGATGGCAGAACCCGATGCATTATGTTTCTTCCAAAGAGAGGTCGATGAATCAAAGTTGAGGACTGGTTCTTCCCTATGCATCAGTTTTAGATGGACAGGAAAACAGCGTAGGTTCAGCACAGTAATTCTTTGTAAGCTAGAAAATGATCATACATACAGAGCATTAAGAGCCCCGTACGTCATACACTTAGTACGTTAAAAAATTGTAATAGAATAGCATGCATTAAAACTACGCCATTAGCAATATTCATACACTCGAAGATTTACATGTAAAAAAGAAGCAAATATCTATACTGACAATTCGTATCGGACCACTTTGATCGAGCGATACCGAACAACCCATCAAAATTCCTCAAAACGAGTAAAGAAATAGAGTATGTTTAATGGGAGAACAGGGTAAGCTATTGTAATACCTCATCATGACATTGATCACAGCGTGCGAAACTACTGCTACTCCCTGACTATAAACGGAAACTCCACTCAAGCTGGGTAAAGTTAAAGAAAAAAAGGTTCTGTGAGATGTAAAATTCAGACTTTCTGCCTGTTCGAACACCTCAGAAATATAAAAAATAAAATTCTCGTAGAAATACCACACACACACAATTCTACATAACAAGTATATGAAAGACTAACGTGGAATACGAATTGAATTCCGCTGCCTCGTAGTTCAGTGGCTGTTAATGGGAGTTCCATGGGATCCGTTGATCGTGAAATGAGCAATGACTAACTCCTTAGTGACGATTCATAGAGAAATGAATGATTCAGGGGGTGATGACAAAGGGGAACAGCCTGCTCCAAGTGCAGAGCCGTCGTCCAACACGATCGATACCAGGACGGTGATGTCCAGCAGTGTGAGGGGTCTGTGACCGCAGACGTCTGTGCGCTTCAAACTAGTCAACCTTGAGAACTGGTTGCAGCATGGCTGGAATCGACATTAGAATCCATTATATAATAAGTTAGCAGCCGGCAATTTCTAAGTAATTGTGTACATTCCAGGAAAATACAATCACATTTTTTACAAAAAAAAATTCATTGAAATGTATACTGACTATAAGTCACTTAAAAGATACCTTCCTTCAGAATAATTGGTTGAAATACTTAGAAAAATACACATTTATTTAGTTACTAATCTGATACATTGCATATGTAACCTTTGAGTAGTGTTTAGTCAACAAAATAACTACTTCTAATTGAGAGTTATGAGCTCGGAGTCTTGCCAATCAGTTACTTATGAAGGCCTCTGATTACCTATCAGAACTCTTATACTCATACCACTAGAATTCGTCCCATTTTGTGGTAGGACAGTGAACTTTTCTTGAATTTGCACTCCCACGGCAATATTGTAAGGAGTTTTTCCCTAAAGAGTTTTCTAATAGATAGCGAGGTGTCACTAAAAGTGCAGCCAAGTTTAGGAAAAAGGGACACGTGAAAATTATGTACTGTAACATGTGCTCAACCAAAGTGATCCCTTATCAATATCATATCACATAGAATATCTGTTGATGGCAGCGGCGTAAACGCGCGATCGTATTCTTTTGCTTGCGTCTTATACTCTTGAAGATGTACGAAAAAAGCCTAGAGAAGTATGGTGTGAAGGAAAAAACAGAATTATTTGGATACTTCCGTGCAAATGCACCATAAATAACCGCCATATACGAGAGTAACGCCTCATCAATTTATTAATATGACAATATCACCGTTCTAGTGTAGAATCTCAACTGTCAGATCACGAATACATTGGGCAAGCACAAGATCATTCAATGGCAAGACAATAAGCCTATTAATCTAGTGAACAAGTATGAGCAAACTACTAAATCAAAATTTTCAGAAGCAAAAAAAAAATAGCGGAATCAGTTGCACCGGATCGAGTAAAATATGAGTACCGGAAATGACAACAATTGCTGGACCTATTGAAGGAAAAGTATCAAAAAACTTCTAATCTCTTGGAAAATGGGAACCCTAAAGTAATATTCCGACGGCTATCACTGAATCATCGGAAGATTTGAACATGTGTTCTCTGAAGCTCTTTCTTTATTTTATTAGCACAATAGACTTTTCAGAGATAGTGAGATTCTGAAGTATCCGAAGCCAATCACTTCGGATACTTTAAATTGGCTCGTGCACTTTCTGACACATCATCTCACTTTGTTGAAATATAGTCTTTTTATCTATGAAAAGTCTTGGGACTACCAGAAACATCAAATAGTGATCAAAAGATACAGGACAAAGAGCTACGAGTAATTAAATCTCAATAAACCCTGGTTGAGCTGTCATACAGAGACGGTCAGGTACTAACTTTCGCGGCAGTGGTATGGTTATCGAACCGATTCACAGGAAAGTAGTGAAATCGTCCAACCAATCGCATACCTCTCTTACACATGCATAAGTGTAATTGCCTCAATCTACGCATTGTACGAGATTTAGAATATAATAGGTTCGGGAGTGTTTTAC